CTTATTATTATCTTGGTTGTTATAAAAGGGCTGAATATCAACATTTTGGGGAATTGAATTAAATATGTTTTGCCTTGATAAAGAAAAAAATGGTGTTTGTTGATCAGTTTGTAATTCTGGTAGATTCGTTTTTAAACTTGGTGTTAAAAATAGTGGTCGTAAAAATTCAGATGTTATCAATTGGGGTTGTATATAACAACTTTGATATGGAATAGTTGTTTGATTGTAATACATTACAGGTGAATTTGTTGAATAATGACAATGTGTTTCTAAATTGGAAATTGTGTATTGTGACATACTTAACAACTAATCTTTTGTTTTAAAACAAGATCACTTTCGTTTTAATATGGTTATTTAATAATTATTAATATTATGTTTTTATAATTTTTGTTGTTTCATACCAATAATTAATGATTTTATGATATTTTATTTGAATACAAAAACACATTTTTATGCCAAAAGACACAACAACACTTAAAATCTATTTATAACTAACCATTAATCGAATAACCACGAAAATGAGGACATAATAAATACACGGATAATTAATCATTATTTGATAAATTTAATTATTTTGACACAAAAATATGTGTACTCTAAACAAAAATCACTTTTTATAAACAAAAGTTACATAAAAACGATTTTAAACAAAAAGGATTAAACAAAAAAGGCGCATCCCTTAATTATCAGGTTTGTTTATTTAAAAAGTTGCAAGCAAATAATTAATCATTAGGCATATATTGATAAACAACGTGTAATATGACGTTATATAACAAATATGACATTTCGTTATGAAAGATGTTATTGTGTTTAAATAACCAAACGTTTTGTGTTAATTATTGTTTTTATTGTCTATATTTTTACTGTTGTAGAGTTCATTAAAAAACACGAATATATGTACTTATTATTGTTAAAATTTTAAAATGTCAATATTATTAATTTTTGTTTAATGCCTTATAAAATATTATAAAACAAATTAGTTAATAAACCGTAGTTCAAAAGTCTGTACCGCAGTATTTTTAAAACTTCCTAAAGTCCCGTTTTTTATTTTTTATATTTCCTAAAAAAACAAAAAAACAAAAAATCGAAAGTACAGACTTAATTTTGAAAAAAAATACCAATCCCGTTCTATCATTTTTGTACAATATCGGGAATTTATCGGAATATTAGCCAGCCTTTTCCAAAAAACCCGATCCTGTTATTTGATTTGACCACAACTCGATACTTCGCAACATATATTCAGTTTTGTAGGTCAAATCGCACAATTATAAACACATTAATAAATTGTGATGTTGTTGTTTGTGTTGAGTTTTAACTAAATATCAGTTTTGTTAAAAAATAAATTAAAAATAAAAGAACATGTGGTTTTGTTCTTTGGACAAAAGAAAATGAAATAAATAGTTTTAAAGAAAAAAAAATTAGAACAAACAATTAATAATTTTGGGTTTTGATATTTTAGTTATCGTTGTGACAACACAATCGGTATATTAATTTTACTCGATAATTTCGCATGTGTTATTAATTTTATTTATTATAAATGAAGACTTGACTTCGAAAATTTTATTCATTTATTACATCAGCATTTTATAATAAAATGCACTTTTGGGATCAATCACGTGTTTTTAAGAAACATAAATCCCTTTATTTCAAATTTTATATAGAATTTTTTTCAATGCTTAAAATTTCTTCAAGCAAAAAAATAAATTATGAAGACCGTTTTTTTCTTTTTTACTTGGAAAAAAATAATGTAATTTTGAAACAAAAACCGATTCCCCAAAAAACAAATAAAATAAATGCAAAAATTCGGGACACCCCAGTACAGACTTTTGAAAAACGATTTATTTTTATTTCAGTTGAAAATCGACTTACATAATACTCTATAAGAATTGTTGGAAAAAATCGATATTTTGTTTTTAATAAAATTATTTTCAAGACAACCACTTTTTCTCTGACAACCAATAATTCTTCTATCAGTAAATGAAATCAATTTAAACTAAACTATGAATAAAATCATTTGTTTTTACATACAAAAAAAACAAATTTTTATATACAAAAAATTTGTTTGTAAAAAACTCTAAAACTAAAATGAAATAATTCTATATTATAACTATTTCCTTTTCTGAACGAGCCGGACTTTTTTTATAACTCCAAATTATTTATATTAAAAACAAATCCTCAATCATAAAATAATAACTGAATATTGTTCATAACAAATTATAATTATTGTCATGGCGAAATTAGAAATGATCTATATGATGAATGTATTTCTTCATTTGAAGACATTTAATGACGTCCGTACATTTATACAAGTCTCAAAGAAATGTTTATCTGTGACAGACTCAATTCATGTGAACCCGTGGTTTTCGAATGCCGATGACATTTACAAATATTACCAACATTTTCACTTAACAACTTTGAATGTTAACTCTATAAATTACAATTATCCAATAACACCAGAATTTGCACGAAATTATGTTATTACAAATACTAACTCTGAATTTGTTTTAAAAAGACTTGGTTATTCTTTTAAAATACTTTCTGGGACATTGATTGGGATGTCTATACCCATATTTGATTTTGTACAAATCTTTGAAAATCTTCTAAGAACTCACAATAAACATTAATATATTACCAGAGTTGTATACAAAGTACTGTAACGCAACAAGTAATTTTCTCGTTACACCAAAATTCCCTCGAAAACTTTTTATTCGAACGAATTCGATTATAACTAAAAATAACTCAAATAACATTTAGACATTGTTACTAATATTAAGAAGAGGTTTGATACTAATATTTACTTTTTGTACACTGAGAAATACATAAATGATAAAGACGATTTAAGAGATATGGGAAAGATATACACTGCTGGTAATACGTTGATTAAACCACACAATATCGACTATAAAATTCCAATGAATTCAAATAAAATATCAACACTTTTCGATCAAACAACGAAAGACGATATACAGAAAATGAATGACTTCATTACTCAAGTGATGCCTTCAAAAATCAAAATATACTGTTCAAAAATTATAACCGTCTTTGATATATCAAGTCTTAATTTAGAGAACATTGACTGTGTGAAATTTAATGCTAAATCTTCCCAGCACATTGACTACGTGTGTTCTAATGAACAGATATTGCCCGAAAGGGTTGAATGTGAAGACTGTACTTTAACTTCAAAACGTCCTATTTTCAATGTCAAAGAAGTAGAGTTAAGTCAACACTGGAATGTGGTTGTCGATTATAATAACGATGAAAACGATAACACAATTAATTTTTCAAAGAACGTCAAAGAGTTCCTCTTCCCAAACGTTGAACGTGTTGTCATCAAAAAAGGAATTTTAAATGAATTTGATTTTTCTCAATTAAAATCATTAAAAAGTTTTGAAGCAAATGGATGTAAACAGTGTGAATTCATTCTTCCTCATATCAATGGCGAGAACTGCGGGTTTATAAATAACGCAAAAATGAAAATTATAATGTGTATAGAGAGTCCACAGTGCTTTAAAATAGAGAACTGTCGCAGTCTAAAAATCTTATTTTTGCAACGAAAAAGTTTAAATGAAGATCACAAGAAAAACAAGAATGTGAGATGTTCGCTTGATATTTTGAATTGTAGGAAAGTCGTTTTACTCAACACAAAGTATAACAATATCACAATAACCAACTCAAACGTCGCGTTTATGCCGAACACTGTTATTAATAAATTGGAGGCAGTTCATTCACAAAATATTAACAAAAGTGTGATCCATGTGAAAAAGTTAAGTATTGATAATAACAACACATTCGTTTTCGATGATAAAACAGTTGAAAGTTTGTCACTCGGAAATTGTAAAAATTTAAAGATGTCTGTTGAACTTCCTTTATGCAAAAAACGGATCATTTTTATGAGTCAAAATTGCGATTTAAATTTTGAAAACAGTCCATTTGTGTCAATTCAAGTGTGTCAGTCGAAGAACGTTAAGGTGTGTGGAGAGTTCAAAGCACTTAACGCTGCACAAATTATTATATCACCAAACTGTGAGCTTTTTTCTACCAATGAAAAAACCAAGAACCGTTTAAATGCGATGAAAGTTTACTCAGACGTTGTGTTCACGTCAAACAAATTGAAGCCGTTAATTGGCATCCCACTTGAGCCCAAATTCAACGTATTACAAAGTGAAAAGTTTGTTGGTGTGACGGACTTTAGTCAGTTTATGGACGTACTTAATTGTGAGCGAATCACTTTATTGAGGTGCACAAATGTCGAAGATAACCCATTTGCTGTAACTACAAACAACTTATTAATAAGAAATTGTCGATTGGGTATTATAGTACTTAAGAAAGAGAATATGG